GATCTGCTGTGCTTTGATGAACTAAAAGCTAGATTTGATGTGTAGCCTTCTCCCAATCTGGAAACATCAACAAACTACCTTTGTCTAAATATAAAGAGCCTTAACAGCAAGTAGGGTCTAATCATATTTACTAATATATAAAAAGCATACAAGTGTACACAAGAATTTGGTCTATGTGTTTTTGTATATAGTATTCTTTCTATACTACGATTCTTCTTTAATATTCTTCTCTGAATATTCTTTTACTGAAGTCACACTAGTAAAACAAACTGAAATAGCAACGAAGTTGCTACAGTAATATCGTAGCTAAAAAGAAAACAGCTACGATTTTGCTACGTTTAGCTACGGAAATGAAAACGTAGCAAATTTGCGACGTTCGTGCTACGAAAATAAATCGTTGGTATCACTTGCTACGATTTTGCTACCAAACGAATCGTAGCAACTTGGTACGACCAAAAAACGTATCAATTTCGTAGCAACCCACTGGAAAAAAAAGTGTCGGTGAAAAAATACAAAACAAAATAAGCTACGAGACCTTTTCGTAGCAAAGATCGTGGTTTATTTTGAATGCAACGTCCCCTCATTCCGACAATGTGCAGACCAAAGAATTCAAGATATTTTGACCTTGCTACGAATAATTTTCGTAGCATATTTCGTAGCATGTTTCGTAGCATTTCGTGGCAAATTTCGTAGCAAGGTATTTTATATAAAAGCAACCGAGCACTTCACTTATACTCAACGAGTGAGATATCAAACATAAAACGCTTTCATTCATATGAGTTGAGGCAAAATTTAAGATAGTTGGGGTTGAATTTGTGAATCCAATGGCTGATTATTTTTATTCAAGAGAGTGGATGGATCAACACTTTGATCCGATCAATAAATGCGTTTCTCGTGAGTTTAAGGAAGGTGTTGATGTTTTTATCGCGTTTGCTTCCAATCAAACTTCTTTTATCGAGGGGAAAACCATGTTATGTCCTTGTGCAAGATGTCAAAACCGAAAACAACGTGACTCGAGAACCGTTTCTCGCCATCTCTACCGGGTCGGGTTCAAAAGTAATTATTATTTATGTCAAGCCATGGAGAAGATCTTTACTATGACGCTGGCGAATCATCGACAAGAGGTCAATTTATGGGAGAAGGCACACTGCATACGGAAGAAGAACCATACCAAGAAAATTATCCGAATGTTGTGGAAGGAGTATTGGAGGATGTGATGGAAGCACCCAACGAAGAGCAATATGCAGATGGTGTGTTTCAAGCATTTGAAGCTGCTAGTGAACCTTTATACGAAGGATGTGTTGAAGGTATTTCTCAGTTCTACTTGGCATCCCGTTTAATGAAAGAAAAAACCGATCATAACTTACCGGAGTCGTGTTTGGATGAGATATCACAAACGTTTAGAGATGTTCTGCCACAACCAAATAAAGCTCCTGAATCATATTATGAGATGAAGAAGTTGACAAAGGAGCTTGGTCTTCCGGTTGTGAAGATTGATATTTGTGAAGATAACTGCATGTTATTTTGGAAGGAAGATAAAGATTTGGTGGCATGTCGATTTTACGGGAAAGACAGATATCACCCGTACCGTGGAAAGGGGAAAAAGCGGCGCAAACAAAGAATGTTTTACATGCCTATTACAGAGAGGTTGAAGAGATTGTATCAACTTGAAGAAACTGCAGCACAAATGCGATGGCACGCAGAACATGAGTCGCCCGAAGGAGAAATGCATCACCCTTCTGATGGAGCAGCTTGGAAGCATTTTAACAAGGTATATCCTGATTTCGCTGAAGAAAGTCGGAATATATATCTAGGCTTAGCAACAGATGGCTTTAACCCAGTTGGTATGAGTGG